GCTTCAGGACTGGTCTGCGTCAACACTTGAACTAAGGATAGAGAGTGAAGTAATCGAACGCGTCGACAACTTCACTTATCTTGGAAGTCTGATCAGCCCTAATGGGTTGGAAAGCACAGGTTCGAAAAGCTCGTTTGGCTTTTGCCAACTTACGTCACCTATGGCGAAGGCGAGGTATCCGTCTATCAATTAAGGGACGAGTATACTGCGCGGCAGTTCGTCCCGTTCTACTTTAATGCTGCGAAACATGGCCTTTAAGGGTAGAAGATACTCGTAAGTTACTAGTACTTGACCACAGATGCCTTAGAAATATTGCTGGTATCTGCTGGGATCACCGGGTAAGTAATAGTGAGGTTAGATGCAGGGTATTAGGGAATAACGGTAAATCAGTTGATGAGATTATGAATCTTCATAGACTGAGATGGTTGGGCCACGTGTTGCGTATGCCTGAACACCGATTACCACGTTGCGCAATGCTAACTGGTGTTAGGGATGATTGGAAGAAAGTTAGGGGCGGCCAAACCAAAACGTGGCATCAGTGCTTGAAGTCACTAACTTCTGGTCTGAGCCATGTTGGTAGATGCAGACTAACTGGTTGGGGTTCGCGTGACTATCGTAACCAATGGTTGGAGACTCTTGGTGACATGGCTCAGAATCGATCACAATGGCGTCGGTGTATACACTCTCTGTCTTCCTTTAAACTAAGAGATTAAAATCGCTTCATATCTTTCTTTCTACCAACTAAGTCTTTCTTCCTGTACTATCTCTTTATACATAATCTTTCTTCTATATATTACCACCACTGAATTAACTACTTCTATGAATCCGGTGTTCATCTTGTTGTGCTAATGCGGTATGGCAACTTGGACCGATGTATATATGTGCCTGGTCCTACGTTGCAGATGACTGACATATATTCACCGTTCCTGTCTGATCTAGTTTCTGTTGGGATTCTGAAAAGAAAATATGGTAAAAAATTGAAACTACCACACTGGAAGTATTTTCTGCCCCTTACATGTGTTTTTTTGCTGAAATTTGGGAATATCATTTTGTAAAGAAGCAGTCTATCACGGGATAGTGAAATATATCAAATATCATAGTGAAGGAATTATTTGCGTCTTTACACTGTAACCAGTTGTACTGATAAAAAATAAGACAATATGTTTTTCATAGCTTTAGTATATTAATTAGAACTTTTGAGGTCTTTTGTTTTAATTTTAAACTTTAGGATTTCATTTTTTTTTGGAGTGTTTGACGAAGATCGTATTCTTCCTCATGGTAACTAGGCATACGCTTATAATATGCCGTGCTAAATATTTCTACAGTCAGCATTGTTTAACTTTCAAAGTCTGCTGAGTGTCATTTTGTTGCTTATATGCACTTGCGCCTACATTAGACACTTCTCTCCTACCTTATTGGATTCACGAAAACATGGGTATGCTTGATATTTGCATATATAGTCTTATTTATTAATCAAGACTTTTAGGACTGTTCTGGAAATGTGCAAGAATTGGTCAGTTTAGTTTACTGCTTTATTTTATTGCGCATTGTTTACAGGTGAACGCAAAAGTCCTTATGTTGCTGTCTGTTGCATTTTAATGGCAGGCGCAGTACTTTTCAGTTCGTAGTTGTAATATATCATTACTTTTTTTAAAAAATAAATAACTTGCAAGGTTCAAATCTTTTTTTTTTTACCACACTATGTTTAGATGCATAATTACTATTATTCTTTCTAGATTATTTGATATGCTTCCGTCGGTTTCTTCCAAGATAATCAACCAGTTGTTGAAACACTCATGTAGAAGTTCTTCACAAATGCCTAATCCTTATCGTAACCCGCTTAGAACCCAAACCAATCCTGTTGGGTATATTACATTTGCTGTTCTTGTTTTGCCGATGGCATGGATTATTCACGACAAAGCCTATGAAATAGATCAAAAACCTCGACGTTAAAATTAATAGACCGACATGTCTTCGTAAAAAATTATAATACATGTAATGTAGACTAAATATATAATATTTATCATTTTTAAGTGTTCTGTCATCTCACGAAAAGTATCTTGATTTATTATAACCCTTTTTATGTTTTATAGAAATGATAAATTTAATTCTGGGGCAAAAAGCCTCATCTTACATAAGAAGTTGTTTTATTAGAAATACGGTACTTTGCACCAAAATCCGACATGCAATTATTTGTACTTCTCATCGTCATTGTTATATCCCTACCAGTGTAAAGCTCAATCACGAGCTTCATCATCTAAAAGATACCCTTTTATTCAGACAATCAAGGTATCTCTCCAATCGCTTGTCTAAGGAGTCAGGAAGCTCCAATGGAGGTAATAGTAGTTTCGCCAATGATACATTTATATCGATTGCAATAACCGGAGCATTTCTTGGCATTTGTTTGGCTTTTCACTGGTATGTAAATCATCTACGTGAATACAGGATTACTGAAAAGAAAAACCCAGATAAGTCAGGGTTAGTATTTGTATGCTTCTTCTTTACCATTATGATTAGCCTTTTCATTTATAAGTATCGTGTTGTCACAAGTTTGCACAAAATACGAACTTCCTGAAACGGCTCAATATTTTCTTCCTATTTACGTTTAACGAAAATATGATGAATGGTTTCTAATATTTATTACTCATCTAATTATTGTTGTTCAGAGGGTACAGTTGATTATCCAGCGACTGACTGAAATATATTTACTAAACATATAAGTTGTACCATATTCTATTTCAGTTTTTCCATTCATGTGAATCTTACTCGTTCGGTTGAGTAGGTGTAGATTAAAGCTAAGTTATCCGTATCAGTATCATAACATCGAGATCGCTTAATTCGAAAAATCTCCATTGTCAATTGTCCTAAACACAAAAACTTAGTCTCAAAAACACGTCGATTTGTTCAAGTCATCGATGTGTTAACCCTCATCAAATTCTGGATTACCGTGACATCTATTCGAAGCTTGTAGTGGTAGTGTTTCTTGACACCAGGACCTCTTTCGATTCACTGAACAGGATTACGCTCAGTAATTTTCTGTTAAGGAAGGACATACGTGATAGGTTTACTAATATCATAAAGTCTCCACAAATGCAAGCAGAGTGTAGACATACAATCACCTCTCTCTTATTCTTACCGAACAACTGACTTAGATAAGATTGTCCATTTTCATCACTGTTCAACTTTACCATCGATGTCATTTTGTAAACAGGTTTAAAAGATGTGCGTGGTGGTAGTGTGGGTCTGTTTTCTGGGGAAAGATTTTCCAACCTTGAGTATGTTGGTTGAGTTGTCTTACTGTGTGATGATTATTCAAGCTACAGAAATCTCAAATCACTTGGAAATTGGTGTTCATAAGTACTTAGCACCTGTACAATACTGGGAGTAGTCGGTAATTGCATCCACTTTTTTCAGTATATCATTAGTAGTCAAGTAGGTGGTGTGTGTAGTTTCGTAAATACTAGTAGTGGCGGGACATGTAAGATCAGCCTAGGTTTACTGCAAGTCATTGCTTCTTGTACTTGCATGGGTCATGTTAACGCTGTCGTAATATTAGTCTCTCTGTATAATGTCAGATATGCGGTGCATTGGTGATTCGAACGTGTTCTCCGAATGCCATCTAAGAAGCTCCCCTACCTCATTATTTACCGACGTTGAGAAAATAAAGCGGTAGTCAATTTATCACTGAGTTCATTTATTTATAGATTGTACACTATTTTACTCGAATAAATGTGCTTTAAATATAATTACGCTATATTCTCGAAGTTTAACTCCAAGTTGCTATTTTCCAGTTTCCCGTGGCCAGTGAAGTATTTAAAATGCAACTTCCTACTAATCATGTGCGAAGTTAGAATAGATTACGTTTATTACATCATCAAAGGGTTAATTTACGCTCATTACGAAAAGCAGTGATAGACAACTAGTATTAGTTATTCTTGCCTAAGCATATCTGAACCTTATTGAAAAATGCTGTTCACGTATCATCTTTATTCACACTACTAACCAGTTTGAAGTTGCAAGTTGATAGTATCCTCGTTAATTATACTTATAAAGAGTGAGTGAAATCGACTTCGAATATAATATGTACAATATTTTAAATTGCTCTAATGTCAATGCTCATAAACTACAAAATAAAATGAAGACTGACCGCTAACCACGAGATCAGAAAGTTCTCGATTCGAATGTCGGTGCGGCCGTGGATGGGCGCTTCAAAGCAGTCCCATACTAGGTCGAAACAACTCCAATACTTTTTTGTTCCCACTGGCTATCTAAAGTCAGTCCGTTGTGTAACCTACAAAACTCAGCAACCTTCATAAACTTAGTGTACTATTTATTGGTTGCTTCCCTCTTCAGTAACACTGCAAATCATTAGGATATTTTGTAACGATCACATTACTCTTTAAACGTAATTGTCGTTTTTTGTGGTTTAATTTCTCCTACCATTGATTGTTTCCAGACATGGTTTAGTTTTCCCTCCACTACCGTTATAGTCCTGGATCAAACGTTGAACTAGTTACTAAACTTCCTCAACAATTATCTTGCATGTTGCTTAATGGTCAACCAGAAAAAGTGGTTAGTGGGTACTTGATAAAATAAGGAATCGATTGTAAACTGGAGCGATCATAACACGTACTACAAGTCTCCATCTACCTCGACAGGGCAATGTTTGCCGGTGACGAAAATGCCATGGACGTCCATATCAAGACGTGGCATAGTCATTGACTATTAAATTATGACGTATTAATCGATACAGACTATCTGGTTGGTGTCTATGCGATTGTTTGGAGACTGAGTGATTTGGTTCAGAGTCGTTTACAAGGCCATTAATGCATTCACACATATTTCTCTCGATCTTGAATCTTGATATTCCACATACTTCTCTCCACTTTTTCATTTCGGACCATATTTCTTGTGTCCAGTACTTCTCATTACCACCGATACCTCATTATTTCGTTCTTTTTTGGTGTTCATCTTATTTCCTCTCGTGCCAATCGGCTATCGGAACTTGAGCCATCACACATCCGAATCACGCTTTACTTTAACGATGTACGACTGATATTTTCTTACGTATTTATAACGAATAGTATACAGCTTAAACTGTTATGAAATCATCTGAAGATTTCTTTTAGGCAAGTTGGATAATCTAAGTTGTGCTTCGGCATGTATCAGATAAATACAAGTTATCCCATTCTGCGTAATTTTATCAGCTCAAAATTAATATCATTATTACTGTTCAATTTGTCTGCGTCAAATTTCCATTTGGCACTCACTGAATATTGTAATTATCTAGAGATATTGCTTAATGTTACATAATTGTAAATAGCATACCACATGTACTGTTTGTGTAAAACTGGATATGAATACTGGAAGCATTTATTTGACAAAGTAATGGTCAAATAAATAATTTTCTTATTATTCTCACTTTTTATTCAAGAAGAAAAAGGGATTACTGTTCTTGTCTTATATTTATCAAGGCTGGAACCTGAAATATCTTCAGCTTCAAATGCGTTGGAAATATCTCCAATTCAACATGAAACTAGTGATTCAACTGATCATTCACCTCTTATTGTTGAGCAACAGCAGTTGGATACTTTGGATTCTGTTGGTTCCCAGGTTACCGAATCTGTAAAAGATTCGGTGAAAGAGGTTACAAATTCAGATTTTCATGATGAAAGTAGGTAACCATCTGTATATTTTGTCGAGAAGTTGCATATTATGTTATAAATTAATGTTCATTGTTTATCTGATTCCATCTGCCTTCGATCTGAATTCTTCAGTTGTTTTAATAACTTGATATTGTGACTAACTTTGCTGCACATTTGACAGAGGCACTCTTCCATATACTTGTGCTTCCAATAAAATTTAATGATCTAGGATTCTATATTACTCAATCATCCAATCATAGGTAAAGCAGAACCTGGCACAAATCTGCATTTATTCAAGTTGACATAGCACATCAGCGCAAATATGAAATTATCATAACAAATGCTAGAGTAATAGAAATATAATTCAAGAGAAAATGATCAGCTCGTGGAATCAAAGTTGTCAAATGATTTTCAAACTGAAGATTTAAGAGAATACACAATGTACGCATCTAGGCTATTTCGAAGAATTATAAATCAAATGTCTCTAACCATTGGCTACGATAATCTTGCGGATTCCGAGTCAATCAGTCAGCTACAATGTGCCTGGTCTTACGACCGACGAAATTAATCCTTATTGTTTTTTGTTTGTTTTATTTAAATTAATCAGTAGGGAAAATTATATGAGAGTTTAACCAGTGTAGCAAAATATGTTAACTCACCAATGAAATAAAGGTTTGTGTTCTACGTTATAAACTATACTTAGTAAGGTAACAGTTAATAACAATACTTGACTGATTAAATCTGACGAAGCTAGCTATTCGAATCCTTTAATTTATTAAACAGAAGTAATTTCATACAGTTAGTTCGTTTGCTAAACTTTTGTAAACTAAGAACAACTAACATTTGGATAAGGTGAATTCAGTTTATTTCGTGTGCTCTTAATCGTCCACATACTGATTTATATAAATAAATATAAGGTTTCACAAATGTAGTCCTATAAATGATATCTGCCGCTTTTCAGTTGAGTATAGATTACCGTGTGGCCGTATAAAAACTTTGAAAGCCGCGTTGGAGAATTTAGTGTTAGACAGAAACCATCTTTCGCTAATAACTTTTATTAGTGTTTGTAGGTTACGACTACACTGTATTTTATAAGTTTAATTATAGGTTCAATTTAAGGAATCACAGGACTTCTTGTACGTCCCCATTATATCTTTGGCAGTAAATGTATTTGTCGATTTATTATAACCTCTGAAATCTGTAGACAAATTTCAAGAATCAAGACTCGATATGCGCAGGTGTTAGCCGATCTTTCAAATATAGGAATAAAGATTCTTGAACAAATTTGTGTTTGTTTCCATAGTTTTGAATATATGTGTTTACTTCTGACTTAATCCAGTATTCATAACTCAGAAATAGATTGGCGAATAATCGTAAAATCCCACGAAATCAGTATTACATTGATCCAGAAGTTTGACAGCTGGCTAGAATGAACTTAGTCATTTGCACTACTTAGCTTTCCGTTGTTCTTCTACACATCTATGGAAGAATACGTCCGAAAATTGCATCATGGATAAACAAATGTAGAAGCTATAAGTCTTCAAATTCAACTGCTAAGTATTTTAGAGTCAATCATTCACTGTCGTATTTCTTTTGGCAAGTGTTTGAAGACACTTTTAAATGATACCGTTTTTGTTCTTCCAAATATCAGTCAGTCAGTCAGCTGCAACGTAGGACCAGGCACGTATATGCATCGGTCCAAGTTGCCATACCGCATTAGCACAACAAGATAAACACTGGATTCATAGGAGTAGTCTTCCAAATATACGTGTTGTCCTATTACTTTACTTAAGCCTGTTACCCCTCATGGAGGAGCATAGGCCGCTCACCAACATTCTCCATCCAACTCTGTTCTGGGCAATCCTTTCCAGTTGCTATTCATCATTTTTATGTCTGCTTCCCATTCCTAACGCAATGTGTTTGACCTTCCGCTTTTTCGTTTTTCTTCAGGATTCCAAGTTAGCGTTTACCTCGTGACGCTGTTTGATGATTTCTTAAATGTATGTCCTATCCACTTCCAATGTCTTTTCCTAATTTCCTCATCAGCTCAAAGCTGGTTTGTTCTCTGCCACAGTAGGTTGTCGCTGATGGTATTTAGCCAACGGACATTCAGTATCTTACGTGGACAATTGTTTCTAAAGGCTTGTACCTTTTTGATTATGGTTGTAGTAGTTCTCCAAGTTTGAGCTCCATACAGCAGAACTGTCTTGACGTTGGCATTGAAGATTCTCACTTTGATGTGGACTGACCGTTGTTTTGAGTTTCATATGTTCTTCAACTGTAGGAATGCGGGCATTGCTTTGCCAGTCCTCGTCTTTACGTTTGCACATGATCCTCCTTGCTCATCGATTATGCCTCCAGGATACGTGAAGGATTCCACATCTTCCAGGGCTTCTCCATCCAGTTTGGTTGAGATGTTGTTCTCCGTATTGTATTTGATGATCCTACTTTTCCCCTTGTCTATGTTGAAGCCTACTGATGCAGGGACTGCTGCTACACTGTTTGTCTTGACCTGTATTTGCCGATGTGTAGGGGATAGAAGGGTCGGGTCATCTACAAAAGTTCAAATCTTGTAATTGATTCCGAGCTGTCCATTGCATTCAGTGTTTCATCTCAGATGTCGAGGTCTTCACAATCCAGTCGACCACCAGAATAAAGAGGAAGAGGTAGAACAAACAGCCTAGTCTGACTCTGGTACTCACTTGGAGTGCATCAATCAGCTGTCCTCCATGCAGTCCGTCGTATGGATTCCCAGAGAGTTGTCCTGTCCAACGAATCAAAGGCAACCCTGATGTCAAGAAACACTACGATTGTTGGCTTGTGATAAGTATGACGGTGTTCTAAAATTTGACGGAGGATGAAGATATGATCAATACATCCTCGACCAGAACGAAAACCAGCCTGCTCCTCACGGGTCAATCTTTCTTGGGTTTTGAACAACCTGCGAAGTATGACAGAAGCCAATAGTTTGGAAGCAATCGGAAGCAGACTTATCCCCTGATAGTTGTTACAGCAACGACGTGAACCCTTTTTAAAGATATGGACAACTGTCGACTCATTCCATGAAGTTGGAACACTCTCTAGCTCCCAGACCTTTCTAAACAACGTTGTCAGTTCCTTAACCAGAAAGTCACAACTATCTTTAAAAAGAGTCAAAAATAAGTCATCTGGGCCCGGTGATTTGTAGCGCTTTAAGAGTTGGGTGTTAGTGATTGGCGTTCCGTCATCTTCACAGATTTTTTCGCTCACACCAGACTTCTTGCTGCCAGTGGCTCGGATGAGTTGACAGAGCTTCCGGCAGTTACCAAATGTAGCCGCTACTTCCAACTCATTAGCACGCTCCGACCACCAGGCTTCTCGGTCCTTACGCAAGCTTTGCCCAATTTCATTTCTTAACAGTCTTCGTTTGTGGTCAAACTCACGATCACTCGAAGTAGACCGACGGGCTTCCATGAGTTGTAAGGATCCTGAAGAAACCCAGTGCTTATAAGCGGGACGTTTTTCGAACCTACAACTGACTTGACCCGCCATTTTCATGGCGTCATGCAATTGCAACCAATGCTCATCTATACTTTTCAGTGGGAGAGTAGCTAGCCTAGAAGCTGGCCCAGTTCGTTACTTACTTGCAACAGAAGTTGCAACCGATTTACTGACATCAATCCGTTTATGACGATCAATTCGTTGTCCACTGAAAAGTATGGTAAGAGTGGCGCATACAAGGGTATGATCAGAGTCCAGATAGGTACTCCAAAAGCAGAGGCAGACTTGTACACAACCACGCCAGCGGTAGCTGATCACGATGTGATCAATGTGAATCCAGGCCAGAGATGTAGAGGGAGGTCGCTAGGTGGCATATCGTCGATATCTGTGTCGGAAGTTAGAGCTAGCCAGAAACAGGTTGTGGTCTGTGCACAGTTGCAGTAGACGTACCCCGTTATCTGTCCTGCGACCAACGAGTCCCCATCGGCCACCTAAACGACTCTCTTCTGTGCCTAGACGCCCGACCTAAGCATTGAAGTCTCCGGCTAGTACTACAATATCTGTCGAACGCGCTTTCTGGAGAAGAACAGATAACTGGTGCTGCCTTAGCTCTAGTGCTTAGTGTGACACCAACGCCAGGCATACCACACAAAGATTCTTTTTGTCCTCTCAATCTCGTAAACAACACCCCCGACACGAGAAGGCATTGAGTAGGACTTCCGTGGCAAAGGCTGTATACGCGTGGCCGTGTGAGAGAATTTCGAGAAGTGGCTTACACTGAGTCACAAAATGTCAGAAAATCTAATTGTTCTACTCATTGGAATATTACAAATATATTAATTTATTTATTTACTTAACCAGTTTATGGAATTGTGTTCTATTGTATACTTTGAGCAACGTCGAAGTATTACATATTTTCCCTTCGTAAAATTGGGCATTTTTATCAAAATATCTCTGACAGTAAAAGTGCTAATAAACACTAGATTTAAATTGATTTCTAATCAATCACTGGTTCTTATTTACATGTTAGAGTAGTAGATAATCAATGGTAGAAAATAGGAACACTTAATGTCAATAGGTAGGCACTCCTAAGATCATCTTTGATTAGGATGAGATTTCTATTTTTATTCGGTTAAAAATATGGTTCTAGATAACGATGGCAAATCGATTGGAATTATTAAATCTTCACCAACTAAGGTGGTTGGAATATGTTATGTATGCTTGCACACTTCCTTCTTCGAGGTGTGATGATGGTTGGTGTAGTAGTAGGTTTGAAGCAAGCTAGGGACGGATAAATCAAGACGTGACACTAATCTATGAAGTCATTGATAATTGTAGTAAGCCATGTTAATATGTTGGGGTCCGCGTGATTATCATAACCAATAGTTGGCGACTGTGAATGTCATGGCTCAAAATCGTTCACAATAGCACGGGTCCATTGCACTTTGTCTTCCATTAAATTCTAAGCTTCCAAACTTCCCATATTTCTTTAATGACTTATATTTGTTCTCAAGTTGTATCTTCGATGACTAATCCATCCCATTTCCACTGATGCTCTTACTACCTCGACGACTCTAGAACACCGTGACAGTTTTATCTCGCCGTGATAATGCGGTATGACAACTTGAAATGATGTATACACGTACTAGATTCTATGCTACTTTTGACTAACTGACCTTCCTTGAATACTTTGAGGAAATCATTGAAAACTTGTAAAACAGAAATAAATCGATAAAGTAAATGAGTTTGGTAAGGTATCTCTAATAGATGAACTCAAAATTTACATCACTGTTATTACCCTTTTATTATTATATGTCGTAGATCCCAAGTCTTTTAATCACCTTATTCTTTTATTAATTTGTACAATACTTCAACTCCATCAAGTAGATATCCGAAACGAAGTTGTTTAGAAACTTGATTCTTCTAAAATATGTCAGTGTTAGCATAGTGTTGATATTCTTAACTTCAAAAGTTGAATCCTAAAATTTTAACTCATCAAAATATATACTTGAGAATTCATAAGAGCCTAAGCATTTCCCTAATATATATACTTTTACGGATAAAATTTCAGCAAGTTTATATCATTCATTCGTTCTATGTAGCAAACCAACTATACTTTTTTTGAGACAATTGGGTTTTTTCATAGTTCATATTTGTTTATTATCCCTCATTAACAGTACCGGAATCACTTGTGTACATTAAACCAGAAGATGAAATGTTTCCTTCACATGTACCATACATTATTGTTGGTGCTGGAGCGGCTGGAATGTCAGCAGCCCGTTCGATACGTGCCTCAGACCCAACGTCTAGAATTTTATTAATTTCTGGCGGTAGGGGACCAAGTACAATAGCTGAACCAGGTATTGAAGAAACTTCATTTGTTGAACCACCACCTTATTTGAGACCACCTTTAAGTAAAGAATTATGGAATCGAAGTCTTGATAAAGAGAAAAAGTTACTTCGATGCGATGGAGATATTCGTCGACATTCTTGGCTATATTATGAACCAGATAGCTTCTTTTTAAAACCGGAAGAGTAAGTTTTCATATACATAGTTAGATTCTTTGATGAAATTAAAAACTTTACTATGGTATAAGGACTATTTGCGATTTTTTCTAGAGTTAAATTGTACCTGAGAATAATTATTTTGATTATATATTTTGTGACTGTTATGCTTTAAGTTCTAATAATCAACTAACGAATTCATTTTCTGTTGCTTATTTATTAATATATATTCAGTTTAAGTTCTGTCCAATATGGTGGAGTAGCATTAATGCGAGGTGATCCTGTGGTTCGTCTGGATCCTGATAAACATACCATTTTTCTAGCATCTGGTAGACAGATAACCTATGATCGTTGTCTTTTAGCTACAGGTGGTTCGCCTAGACGGTATAAACATTTGGAAACGTGTAGTCAAACTGGTGTAAATCTAATTGACACTGGACATGTTTCTTATTTCCGTAATATAGCAGATTACAGGTAAGTGTGCTCTGTAATATGTATGAGTCTGTTATATTTCTAATTTTCGGGTATCTCAATGAACATAATAATCATATTATGTGTGGCTGCATATGCATATGGAGAAGAAATTGTGATTTATAAATTAAGATGTTCGAACATATACCTAAGTGATTGCAAACACAAAATCAAATGACCCAATAAGAGTAAATGATAAACATCCATCATCCTCTATTGCCAGACACGTAGTTGAAACAGGTCATAGTATCGAACTTAACATGGCTTTTGTGGTGTTGTAAAAAAGTGTAAAAGGGCGTATACTAAGGTTTATTGAAGCCTTAGCCATACGAAATTTCAAACATCCTTTATGTATTCAAAAACAGTTTTTTCTTATCTTAAACATATCTTGGTAATATTAGCTTATTATCCAGTGTGAAAGGGCTTCAAGTTGTTTTCTATATTATTCTCTTTATTATCTTTATCTCCCCTTACCCTACTTTTCTAGTCCAGTTGACATTTTATTTTTTATATAAATGTTCTTAACAAGTATATATGTGATCAGATTGCTTGAAATGTATTGCGCTAATATAATCTTTATCTTTTTATTATGCTATCCAGATTAGTGTTGAATTTGTGTTATTTTGTACATATTTTTATTTCATCATATATATGACAGTTGATTCATGACAATATTTTCTAGACATCTTCGAGATCTTGCTGATAAACTTCGTCGAACTAGTGGTGGCAGGATTGCTGTCATTGGTGGTGGTTTTCTCGGAAGTGAATTATCTGTTAGTTTATTAAAACAACCGAAATCTGCAGATAGCAAGAATGGTAATCCTGATTCAAAAACTCAATCAAAACTATCTATAATGCATGCATTTCGTGAAACAGTTCCAATGGGCAGTGTTTTGCCACCATGTTTAGCTTCAGCTGTTGGACGTTTTGAATCAAGTAAAGGTATTGAATTATGGAGTTCATCAGATGTTGTCAGCTTATCACTTGTTCCTAATACAAATGTGAATACCAGTACTCGTGCTACTACTACTACTACTACTACAAGTGTAAAAGAATCGCAAAACCTTTTACCATTGGAAAATGTAATAGCCAGTAATAATACTGAACGTGTTCGCCTTCGTATTAGACGTACAACATCTGGCATTGAAAGAGTAGAAGAAGTAGAAGTCGATCATGTAGTTTGTGCTGTAAGTTTCTTCGTTTTTATCATTCAATATAATTTATAATAAATGTCTTTTGAAGAAGATGGAAGGAAGATTTTACTTAGGACGATTTTTTATTTTTAGTGCTTGGTTAAACCTCTATATCATCCTGATAATTTGTTATTTTTCAATATGTTATAAAATTACCTAAGTCTATTCTTGGCCATCTAGCATTTTCTATTGAAACATAGATTATCATATTGAATTCAAATGGGCAAAATTATGTGCTCACTAAATTCGAGGTTGTTGGGTCAGTCAGTCCGCTATAACGTAGGACCAGGCACATATATGCATCCGTCCAAGTTGCCACACTTTATTAGCACAATAAGATGAACACCAAATTCATAATATTTACTTCAGTGGTAGTAATATATAAGAGAAAGATTGTGTATGAGGATATGATACAGAGAGAAAGAATCACTTCATAGAAAGAACGGTATAAAGCAATTGTAATCTCGCGGTCTTAGGTAAGACAAATAGTGCATACACCTGCACCATTATGATCGATTCTGAGCCATGTCACACAAAGTCTCTAACCATCGGTTACGATATTCACACGGACCCCAATTAAGTAGTCTGCATCTACAAACATGGATCAGACCAGGAGTTAGTGACTACATGGACTGACGCCACGTTTTGTTTTGGACGCATTCCAAACATCCTGACATTGTCACTGAGTGCTACCAAAAGAATTTGCATCTCATCATCGACTTCACCAAACATAACTACATCATGTGCGTATCCTAAGTCGATAAGTGCGCCTCCTGGAAGAAGATCGATTCTCGAAAATTCAGTAGACGAAAAGGTGTTTTCCATCAGTATGTCGATGATGGAGTTAAACAAAAATGAAAGTGGTGGATAGTCTTGCCGGACACTTGTGTTGAGTCAGCTTTCCGAGACAGAGCCTCCGGAGGCCCTGAAGGAGCCGAAGAGTCTTAGCCAATCAGAGCATGATAGGGCTTTCTGTAATACCAGCGTGGCGTGCTACTATTGGTCAGTAGCATAATGTCTTTTAGTGGATTGGCCAAAATATGATGTTGATTTAACAAATGTTAACATCTTTAAATACCCATGTTTTTCTGTACAAGAATGAAACTTGGAGTAAAATACTTTCCGCAAACTTTGCGCCTTCTCTCTCGTGTTCAGGTTGCTGGATAGTTCTAGCTTGCGGATCTCAAGAATAGCTTAGGAAACGAAATAAGCGTTCGAATTACAAGACTTATCAACTTGAGGTTGCAAAATCAGATGACAGTTCGCCGTAATCTCTGACTTGACTGGTAGTTATCGAGTAAAGAGCCTTCACATGGTTTGTGTACTCCTGAGCTACACCTTTCAATGACAGACACTGCTACAGAACCTCTCGATCAACAGAGTCAAATGTTGCTTTTAAGTGAAGAAAGACCACCATTGTCGAACGCCGATAAGTATGCCTGTTTTCTGAAATCTGACGAATGGTGAATATGTGGTCGATACAGCCACGACCAGGTATGAAGCCAGCTCGACTTTCTCGTGTTTGCAGTTCATGAGTTTTTGTTTGGCGCCCAATAATCATCGTGTTCAGAGCCTGGTGGGATGAGTTTACGAGAATCTATCAGTGCAATGGACTTAGTAGAAATCCATTGGTTTTTCGTGAACTTTTGGCTCAAACCACAAATAGATGTCGCTGCTGTTTCCATGGCTGTTCGTATATCTTTCCAAGTAACATCTAAGTCAGCCTCGTTTTCAGAACCACATAGAAAGAATAATAGGAATTGAAGAGGGAATCTGATTATGAATACAGTGATCTTGAATGCTGTTAGATGTATGACGGCGGTTATCACTTCCCGGTTGCCCATACCGGGCAAGTGTTCTTCTGGAGGTACCTGAAAATGAAATTGGGTGAGGGGTGATCTTAGTGACCTGAGTGCCTGAGGTACAACTGCTGGAGATGGGTCACACACGAGTATTTTGTGAGTAATTTTCGTGTTAGCTCTGTACTTGTTGAGACCTTACCGCTGGAGACGGAAATCTGTGGGATAAGGTGAGGTGTGTATTTTTAGGGTCGAGCTTTTCTAAACCCACCCCTTCTTGTGTGAAGGCATCATCGCTGTTGCAGTATGACTATTAACCTAGGTGTCTTCATATCGCGTGTAATATGTTGATATATTAATTGATTTTAGGTTGTCGATCGGAAACATTAGATGGAAGTCTCGTGTTAGCTAGTACTCATTAACTAAAGTTACCTGCAATTATGAAGGAACTAATGTTTCCTGTAGAATCTCAATCTTCGTCACCCAATCTTTCAGTCTGAGACGTTACCACCGAGCTGCTAGACCTAGCTGTTGATCTTCGAGATGCGTCAGCTATCTATCACCTTCGAAGCGTTGGTAGCTGATTGCGAAGCGACCAAGTTTTATCATATACCCTTAGACAAAGATGGCTAATCGGTTGATGAAGTAATAGGTCTTTGTCGAATCATGCAACTGGGACATCTGTTACGTATCTTAATCATTGCCTATCTCCGCGGACGGTTTTAACTTGTGTAGGAGAGTAGGTTGGAATAAATTTAGAGATGACCAAACCAAAATGTGGCATTATTTCCTGAAGTCACCGACTTTCAGACTGACATTTTGATCTGTCTAAACTATCTGGTTGATATTCATGCCATCAGTGGTTGAAGACACAAAAAGGAATGGCTCAAAATCGTTCACAATTGTCCAGGTGCATTCACTCTATATCTACCCCTACATTATGTCTTCTAGTTTTCTTCCTTAAATTATATTGTGTTTATTCTTTCCTACTTTCACTGCCACCAACATTACTTTGACTCCTTCGTTACTCATTATATTAATTTCATCTCGTACCAATGTAGTATTATGCCGACTTGGTTTAATGTTTATTTGTGTCATATTCCACACTGTGTGTGAATGACTTTCAGGAAATTATTTTGTACGATTAACGAATAGTTTTTCTTACTATTCTACTTTGCTAATATTACATTCTATGATCTATAAACTGTAATTTTTCTTTGAGGATTTCGAATTATTGAGATTTCATAAATTATACAGTAGTCTTGTGATCAGATTGTGATTAATAATCTAAGCACATCTTCCCTTCTATTGTATTTCAAATGAGCTATATTTAATGAACGCAAATGCTTGTTGACTGTGAAACAATTCGCCCTAGTCGATTATAAATTTACAAATAGTTTACACAGGAAATTTCTTACCAAACTGTGAAAGTAGCAACAGGAATATATACAATATTTCTCTGATTTTAGTGAAATTCTTCTCAATCTTGAGGATTAAAAAGACCATCATTTAAATCTGACCAATATTTATTGATTTCTGGAAAATTACTTGATTCTTCCTGACACTAATTCTCTAAGGTTGTATATTCCCATTGGTTGTCGATTTATGGACTGGTATATACATATATATATATATTCTTATTGTATAACTGTGGTATGTTTATTCATATTTTTTTATTATAAGCTTCCATGTGACTTATCGACCACTATTATACGATTTAGTATTCTCAAGTTATTCCATTTCATATTTTTCTCGATAGATTGGTATAGAACCGAACACGGAGCTTTCTTCAGATGCATCCCTTGAAGTAGATCCTAATAATGGTGGATTTCTAGTGAATGCCGAATTGGAGGCAAGACAAGGTGTTTATGTGGCTGGCGATGCTGCATCTTATTGGGATCCAGTTGTTGGTTGCCGACGACGTGTTGAGCATCTAAATTTCGCTGAAGAAGCTGGATCATTAGCTGGAAAAAATATGGTTGCTTCATTATTATCTGAAAATAATAAATCTGCATCTAGAACGTCGTCATCATCATACTATCAACACCAATCATCTCTATGGTCTACACTTGGTCCAGAATTATCATGGGATGCAGTTGGATTGATTGACTCACGCTTACTTTTAACACGTGCTTTCTTTGCTTCTTCCACTACTACCGGTGATGATGACAATGATATTGAACATAGGTCATCTAAAGAGGAGAATTCGACGACTCGATCTTTTTCCCATATACCTGATTCTAGTATAGGTAGACTTACCAAAGGTGTTGTTTTCTATCTTACCCCAAAAGATAAAAAATTAGTTGGTATTCTGCTATGGAATATGCCTGATGAAATTTATACAGATGCAAATTATCCGGCACCTAGTCGACTTAATCTAGCCCGTAGTTTATTAGCTCAAAAACTTATCATCGAACTTGACGATTCTACAGAGAAATTGCAAAACTCGACAGGTAATAATTTACGTCAACTAGCCAGTCAATTTGATGTTTATGGAGAGATTGCCGAGGATTATGCACATTTACAAGAATATATAAAAAGGAAGAAATTAGATGAAGATAATAATAATATCGCTAATAATAATGATAATTCAACATTTAGTTCTGTAGAGAATAAACCTCCTAATATGTAGTATTTTCAAAGAATATATCAACTACAGTAGCTAATCACGTGCTCACCAGTGTTGCGGCATTTAAAGATGAAGAACCTATGAGGAGAAAATTCATTGTTTTGTTTTTGTTACTTATAATTTCGTACGGATTTTGTAAATTTCAAGTTTTTTCGCTCATTGTTTATCAAATAGAAACTGATTAGATTGAAATTCTGTAAATTTTTTTCCTACTTGATTGCTGTTGTTGTTGTGTCTCGTAGAGTAAAACACTGCCGATATAATGTTTTGATCTGTCGAATATTTCAAAGAATGCGTCACCTTTCTCTGTGTCTGACTGATTAAACAACTGAGTAGAAGAGATTACTCGCCTTCTCTGAATATATATTACATCGTAGCCTTATTGGATTATTTCACAGTTGATTTTAAGATAGGTCACATGACAATAGCATACGAAAACGTGCCTAATGAATACATACAGAATGTATTAATGGATTTACCAATATTATGTTTGATACTTATAGCTCAGGAAATGTGATTATTCTGTGGTCCGTTAAGTCTACCACCAAACGTCCGAATAGTGACCAGTGGACAATTTAAAATACTACTGTTAGCCAGTTAGAGGTTAATAAGCGGATGTTTGTTTCTGGTTGCTCACAAAGTGCAATAATATTTTATCATGACATACTTGAGAGGAAACCTGCGAGTGACCCTAGACTCCGAGGGACAGCTATTTAAGCTCGACTATCCATGACTTATTCCTTAGTAGTTTTCGTTTATTAGTTCTTTACTTTTCCCAGTTCACCTACGTGATGGGGAATTCGTATGGGATAGAAAATCGTACTGCCCTTATTAGCAACCTTCTCTAAGTTCCATTAGTCGTCTATTGTCTGCATCGTTTGAGAGGTTTTTTCGACGGAACACACTCCAGTACAGTCGTTAGTACGGCTTTGTTCTCGAAACTTTATTTAACTGCATACTTCTAATATTGTAGTTATATTGATCCAGTGGTATTTCCCATTGTCTTCAATTATCTAACTTCCGGTACCTTATGACTCAACTTAGTAGTTTATTATATCCATTTACAGATCAAATTTGGTCATTGCTAAGTCGCTGAAGCGTATTAAGACTTTGTTGTTTGGTTGATTTTATGCAGCGTGTTTCAAATTAGAGAACGCGAGTTATACAACTGTATTAGAAGCACTCGTTCACGATGTTTTAGGGCTTAATAATTAGTGTAGTTCAACTAAGTTGATCCAGGTGTGAATTAGTTATCATTATGTACTGTATCCAAAAAAGTTTGATAGTAAATGATATTGTGATACCTTCACTACACACATACATTACAATAATGTATGAAGTTTTCGGTAGTCATTCTGGGTCTAATGATTTTCGTTAATGTAATGTTCGAATTTCTAAGTTATAGTTCTTCCGTTTCACCTTCATATTGATGTGAATGTACTCAATTTTAGTCTTATTACGTATTATCGGTCGGTTTCATGTTTACTTATGACATCTTTCTTCACTTTAATCTCTGTATTTCAAAACTACTTAACTAAGTGCTTTTTTCTGTTGATGTGAATAGAGAAATAAAGAAGCCATTACAAAGAGCGGAAGCTATTTTTAAGGATGTTATTTCACTTAATTGTTTTACACTAATCTTAATCGGGAATAAATCGAGTAGTGTTCAGTTAACTCTTCTCACTCGCGCGAGCTTGTCAACCAGTCAAGTGATAGTGTGGTGTATGCTACTTTTGTCGATATATGTGGTATATGATACCAGTCAGAAATGGAATGCCTGGCAGCAGAATGTTAGGAAGATCGGATCGAAGAGCACGGGAACAAAGGGACTGTTATGGCAATGAAGTTTGAGACCATTTATAGAGGATTTGAAAATGAATTATTAAACGTACAGTCTTCATATTTTGTCAAAGAATTCGGTAATTTTGTATCAAAATACACTGATTGTCCCTGTCTGTGTTCCCGTTCATTACAATAGCATGCCTCAAGATTAAATTATTTAGCTTATCGTGTTAGGGCCATAACGTAGATCGAGAAAAGTTCTTTTCTGTTTATTATTTTGGCAAGCGAAACAAAGACATAACATTTACTAAATTCGAAAATTCCACATCCGCACGTACTTAAGTTTCAAAACCTTAGTGGTTTTTCTAACAAAATAATGTGTATTGTTTTCTTTTTGTCTTACTACGTATTAGAATTTCATGATGAGGTTTTTGTGCACTCACCTGTAAAGCACTTTTGATTTCAAAGTAAAACTTATTCTAAGTATTTATTTGCAATATATGGTCCACATCACGTTCTTCTGTAAAATACTGTTGTTTTATCTAATCTCTATACAGGAAGATTTTTTTATTTTAAAATATAGTTTTCACTTATTAAACAAGCACTTTTTTCATACTAACATATTTTTGTCAATTTTCAGTTTCATCATTACAAGAGAACTGTTGAAAATTGAAATAGATCTGTAAACGATACGGGACTTGCAAACATTGTTTACTGGAGTAAATTTTTGAAAAAAAAACAAGTAAATATTTTTATGGCTTAATATGGAAGTTTTTCGAAATTGACCGGTTATATTTTATTATCGCTTTATTGAATTGTATGAATTAGGATAATTTTTATAAATTTACAGTTTATAAATGTTAATATCTGTATATATGTGATCTTTTTTTAGCGTAAATAAATGCTTATTACTAAATGTATATTTACACGAACTTACTGGTATTGCATATAGTACGTAACATTTATTTTTAGTTAGCAGTACTCTTTTACACTCATCTGATCAATATTTATATGGATAAAGAACAATTTCAAGGTTGAAAGCTGGTTCAAATCCACAACTTGCCTGATAGTTTGTACCATGTTTCAATCATCAATTGTAATACACAATTGTTTACTAGTTTTTGCCACTTGCTTTATAAATGGCATGTTTTCAAATTCTAATTAATCAACTAATTAAAGCATGATGATTTTACTAACAGCAGTATTACTAATTACCCTCTCTTCACTCGTCCACACTAAGTATGCTGATGAGGATCGGTTACGACGACTTCCTGCGGCTTAACCTTCATAACCAAAACACAAGAAACAGAACTTAGCTAATTAACTGCATTTATTTTATAACTCAATACTCACTTGATAGTATATATCAATTAACAGGACTAGAACGTAGCATAAATAATAATAAATCACAATTTCAAACTGAATTGGTCATTTGCAGTACAAACTGAATAACAGATCCATAATTAAGTGATTGCGATCTATGAATAATAATATAAATGTCAAGTCAAAGCTAACAAATAAAATAATTTAAAAATACCACAAGCAAAATGTTCGATGAACTCATGATAAAAATACAATGATACAACAATAGACCTCAAAATTACAAAATTTTCACCTATAGGTCTTTATCTAACAATACACATACTAAGTAATAATATTATCGGTTTGTTTTCCGTATTTTTGTATATTGTTGTACAGTGAAATTTCTTTTTAAATTTCGAATGCACAATGTAATCTCTAATGGACGATTATTTTAACTCGGAGTAAAACGCTGCAATGTTTGAAATGTGTGAAGCAATTAGTGGGATTGAATTAAAATACAATCTACTTGTATTTTACTCCAGATAGAATTCGTTCTCTGAAAAATCTAGCCGTATATTTTATCGAATACATGTTCGTGTAACTTTCATTCGCGGAAGAAACTGGGTTCTGTATATATTAATCAAAGACGCCGTTCTCTCTCTCTCTCTCTCTTTATATATATATATATATATATATATATATATATATGATTGTTAGTGATATATCAAGTTTGGTATTTAGCCTTTTTTTCTCGTGATTCCTTTTTATAGTACCTATGTCTGACCTACAAGCAGAAGTTTCAAAGAATTTAATTGACTCTCCGTCACCTCTTAGCCTAAAGGTTGGTCGACTTTTTTTCTTATTTATTTATCTATTTGGACACAAATATTGGTACAAGGGGAATGAGAATTTATAGAGGAGGAGAAAAAAAAGTAATGAATGTAGGGAATTATATAAAAAAAGTGGGAGAGAGGGAACAATAATGGGGAAAACGGAAAGGTACAATCAGTAGAAATCTTCCAGTTAAGGAAGAAGCAACCACTTTTTATGAAGAAAGTAAAAGAAGGTTACAGCGGCATTGCCACTGGCTTTTATTCTGAGCCATATCTGATAACGTCTCTAGCCACTGTGTTACACCATCTCTCGGATCCCAACTAGGGAATTGTGAAGGACCAACACAAATCAGCCCTTTGCAGATTTCTTTCATACCACGACACCATGTTATATACTGACCACCTTTCCGCTTTTTCCAACCAGTCCCAGAGTCGGCAAATAATGCACGACGAGGAGTTCTCTGCTACGACATTCGTAGAACATGTCCAAGCCACCGAAGTCGATGTTTCAGGGTGATGACACCAATTGGATTGTCGTCTCTGTGACCGAACACACGATGTCGAACCTCTGCATTACTAACATGATGTTGCCACTGGATGTCAGCAATCCTTCGGAGACAACGATGATCAAACACAGAGAGTTGTCTAACATCCTCAAATCGGAGAGGCCAGGTTTCACAAGCATAGAGTGAAATTGCTCTCACCGATGCGTTGTAGATCCGACCTTTTACAGACACTAACATCACGAAGGCGCCAAAGATGTCCCAGATTGGCATAAGCTGCTCTAGCTTTCACTATACATGCATTGATCTCCTCACTCACGCCACCACCAGCACTTATGCAGCTACCCAGATACACGAACTTCTCGACTACTTCTATCTGCTCACCATCCAGAGTGAGTACAGGATTAGAATCCTGCCAGTCTTGTAGAAGTACTTTGCACTTCGAAGGTGCAAAGCACATACCATGCCTACGGACACTGATTGCCAACTGATTAAGTGCGGAGTGCATGGCTTGGGCATTCTCGCACAGTAAGACAATATCATCCGCATACTCAAGGTCGAGAAGTCTTTCTCCAGGCAACAGATCCACACCACCATTACTTACATCCATCAGAGCTGTTTCCAGAATGTCATCGATGGCAAAGTTGAAGAGGAATGGTGAGATTAGGCAACCCTGTCTAACCCCACTGCTTGAATGGAACAATGGAGAAAGGTGGTTGTATGTCCTCACTCTGCCTGAGGTGTTTGTGTATAGGGCTTTTAGGATGTTAATAAACTTCTCAGGCACACCTTTGATTAATAGACAATCCCAGAGAACAGTTCTGTCCAACGAATCAAAGGCAACCCTGATGTCAAGAAACACTACGATTGTTGGCTTGTGATAAGTATGACGGTGTTCTAAAATTTGACGGAGGATGAAGATATGATCAATACATCCTCGACCAGAACGAAAACCAGCCTGCTCCTCACGGGCCAATCTTTCTCGGGTTTTGAACAACCTGCGAAGTATGACAGAAGCCAATAGTTTGGAAGCAATCGGAAGCAGACTTATCCCCTGATAGTTGTTACAGCAACGACGTGAACCCTTTTTAAAGATATGGACAACTGTCGACTCATTCCATGAAGTTGGAACACTCTCTAGCTCCCAGACCTTTCTAAACAACGTTGTCAGTTCCTTAACCAGAAAGTCACAACTATCTTTAAAAAGAGTCAAAAATAAGTCATCTGGGCCCGGTGATTTGTAGCGCTTTAAGAGTTGGGTGTTAGTGATTGGCGTTCCGTCATCTTCACAGATTTTTTCGCTCACACCAGACTTCTTGCTGCCAGTGGCTCGGATGAGTTGACAGAGCTTCCGGCAGTTACCAAATGTAGCCGCTACTTCCAACTCATTAGCACGCTCCGACCACCAGGCTTCTCGGTCCTTACGCAAGCTTTGCCCAATTTCATTTCTTAACAGTCTTCGTTTGTGGTCAAACTCACGATCACTCGAAGTAGACCGACGGGCTTCCATGAGTTGTAAGGATCCTGAAGAAACCCAGTGCTTATAAGCGGGACGTTTTTCGAACCTACAACTGACTTGACCCGCCATTTTCATGGCGTCATGCAATTGCAACCAATGCTCATCTATACTTTTCAGTGGGAGAGTAGCTAGCCTAGAAGCTGGCCCAGTTCGTTACTTACTTGCAACAGAAGTTGCAACCGATTTACTGACATCAATCCGTTTATGACGATCAATTCGTTGTCCACTGAAAAGTATGGTAAGAGTGGCGCATACAAGGGTATGATCAGAGTCCAGATAGGTACTCCAAAAGCAGAGGCAGACTTGTACACAACCACGCCAGCGGTAGCTGATCACGATGTGATCAATGTGAATCCAGGCCAGAGATGTAGAGGGAGGTCGCTAGGTGGCATATCGTCGATATCTGTGTCGGAAGTTAGAGCTAGCCAGAAACAGGTTGTGGTCTGTGCACAGTTGCAGTAGACGTTCCCCGTTATCTGTCCTGCGACCAACGAGTCCCCATCGGCCACCTAAACGACTCTCTTCTGTGCCTAGACGCCCGACCTAAGCATTGAAGTCTCCGGCTAGTACTACAATATCTGTCGAACGCGCTTTCTGGAGAAGAACAGTTAACTGGTGGTAGAATTCATCTTTAATTGCATGCGGGCTTCAATCTGTCGGGGCATAGGCGTAGATGACGAAAAGACATCGTTTCTCACACCGATTTGTTCTCACTTTGATGGAACTTTCTAATCTAACAGCACATAACCGACTGTTAATGGGGATCCAATTGATTAATGCTACCTCAGCTCTAGTGCTTAGTGCGACACCGACGCCCGCAAGATCAGCGGTAGATACCACAGAGTCCCCGGATAAACGCACATAAAACAAGCTTTTTGAAGCGACAGATGGAAAGCGAACTTGTAGTACTTCACTAGAGTCTTGAATACGGGTCTCGGATAGACAACATACATCAATATTAAGACTTTCCAAAGACATAGCCAGACCTATCTGTTGTCCGACCTGCATAAGTGTGCGAACGTTGAAGGCAGCCAGTTTGAATGGTGCACGTGGTTTCAGAAAAACTGCTTCAGTACTCGTATTCGGTGGTAACATATGATTTTCAACTAGGCAGTGACTGGAGAACGTTTAGATAGAGCCGAATTTCCACCATAGGCGAGCTGCTGTCTAAGTCGAAACGGATACATAAAGTGGGAATAAAAGAAAGTGAATAAATGACGTAGTAAATAATAATAATAATAATAGTGCGAGTCATTTCATTGTCATTCGGATCGAAAGGAATATTTTCCATAAGGAGATAGTTCATCATGTTTTAGTGTGTGGGCTGAGATACTGCTCGGGGGCCCAGACCGAAGCAGGTGGTTTTCTTAGGGGGCCACGCCCCGAGCCTTTGACCTAAAGGTCTAACCCACAAGGCAGTGAAGCATCGCGAGGAGATGCAGTCCCATGGAAGCCGGTGAACAAGAAATTGGTTCATACGTCATTTGTTCTCGCAGGATACTGGAGCGCATGTGCACCATTGATTTGGGATCTGGTTATAGCGCCGGACATTCGCTCTTCGTCCTCTCATTTTCGTAAACAACAACCCCACCACAAGAAGGCAGTGAGTAGAACTTCCCTGTAAGAGGCTATATACGCGTGGCCGTGTGAGAGTATTTCGGGGCATTTGGGGGAACTTTTTTTCCTAGTGTGTCCTAATCAGTACTATACGTCAGAAATTTAAGAAAGTAAGTTATACGTGTTATTTATATGCACGTATAATTCAAATAATTTAGGATTCTATGGAGTTTAACTTGATGTGTACGGCTTCGTCATGGGAAAAACAGTATCATGCAACTAAACACTTAAAGAATGAAGCACAGATGGCTTATCAGACATTGTTTTTTCTTTACCTTTTCATATCGTCTGTCATTGATTTCATTTCCCTTGAGCCGATTATTCAGATTTTATTTTACGTAGGAATATTAGTACGGTTACTTCTCGATGCTAGCGACGGGTGAAACTGTGAACTCATGAATAATATAATAATGGTAAAATGCGTTTTGATATAAAGGTATTTATTAATTGAAACAAAGTATATTTATGTATGATCATAGCACTAATAGTTTCATATATATTCTCGAACCTCTATCATTCAGTTAAAAATGTAGGTACAATGTGTTTGTTAATAATGACATATCCCCATATTAAAAATGCATAACCTCGGTATTTATTTCTCCATTTTTCGAACCATAATACTACAAAACTAAAGAATTGTAACAATTTTGTTGCTTGTTTGGAAATTATATGAAATTATTCAGATGTGTAAATTATAATTTATATTTCTATCACTCCAAACTTTCAGATTAATCATTGGTTTGCAGTTTCAGCATGGAAATGGTGTACTAACGATGATGACTGTGGTATTTGTCGGAACGCTTTTGAAACATGTTGTGCAGATTGTAAACTCCCAGGTGACGATTGTCCTCTTGTTTGGGGTCAATGTAATCATTGTTTTCATATGCATTGCATTATAAAATGGTTAAATAGTCAGCAAATGGCTCAACATTGTCCTTTATGTAGACAAGATTGGCGGTTCCGAGAATAAGCATCTTAATTTCTGATTTTTGTTAAATTTTTTAAAATATATAAATTGCAGAGCATTCTTTATCTGATTCTAAATCAAAATTTAGTGTTTGTGCCGAATTCAGTAGTGTTTATTAGCCAACTGTTTTTGTTTATACTGTAATTAACACTGAAACCTCATCTTTAGATACATTTATTTGTACAAAGCGTAGTTCAGTAAAATTCCAATTTCTATGGTCATTCAAATTCAGTACTTAAAAAAGTTCTACCTCCGGATTCCAGTGAGTTTTGGTTTACATTCAAAATGATGGCCTGAGGATTTTACCTACCTCTATCAGATAATACATGATACTTTGTATTTTTGTTATGTTCTCTTATGCAGCGTAATATAGTACAAATAATCTGAATATCATTTTTTTCACCAAACATCTATCCCTTATAAGTGAATTTTACTTCGACACTCATATATAAATTAAGCTATTCGGTTATTATTTTTTTGTTAATGGTTTGAGTCTCAGAGTACATTTCACAAATTTGTGTCCATAATAATGTATTTGCTTTGATAACGGAATATAAATCTAATCAACTCGACATGTCTTTTTTTTATATTTTTTCAAATAACTCTTAGTCGCCTGATTAATTGAAATTCTGCCGAATAACTATTATTCAAGCATTTTTGTAAGGACACTAATATTGCTAGTAAACGTTCGTCAGCAAAGTGGTAGCGGAGTTTTCTAAGCTTCATGGCATTCAGCTGATGATCCGAACATCCATGTTAAGTAAATTTACTTAGAATAGTGCAAAAGGATTTCGTTTATTTTTTCCCGACATTTGAAATTCATATAACTATTATTATTTTTAATAAATTAGATAATTCGTAGCATCTGGACATTGACATCTCACTACCGGGTTTAGTCAAAGGAATACTGTATTTTCGTATTTTGAGGTGGTCATAAAATATTTGTTTTACAAAATTCGTGTTTGAAAATTTTATAGCCGAGTTTGTTGACTATTTGAGGATGGTGAAATCTAGCCCTTCAATCTAACTTCGTATATATGAAGTTGAACGCGACATGGAAATTGTATCCGAAGAAGATGGAATTATGGGTAACTTCTGGAAACTACTTATATATATATATATATATATATATATATATATATATATATATATATATATATATATATATATATATATATATATATATATGTTTTATTATAAGTTTCCATGTGGCCTATTGACTACTATTGTACGATTTACTATTCTCAAGTTATTCCGAACCGACTAGTTACAGTCTTTCACACTCACAGTCACTTTTGGCTCGATGTTGTATAATTATTATTTTTTATTTTAATGGTGTGATGTGGTCTGGTCTAATTTTGTATAGATCAAGTATGTCCAAAATATACGATTCATACAGGGGACGGTGAAATTGTGTTCTGGACTCAACGGGCAGGGCAAAACAATATGTGAGGAACCAGTAACGATTCTGAGTTGACTCTAAACTTCTCGTACTGTTTAACACGGTGCCTAGGTTATATAAGTCAATGTCCTGATTGTCGGTCTTATCGCATGGTGTTTGACGGCGCATCAAACACAACAGTTGTTGAAGGCGTGGAAAATCTACAACTTCAACCTTCACAAAAAGCCAAGGTCAGCTAGTAGTCAGGCGAGCGTGAGTCTAATTATGCAGACTTGTCCCCCATGTACTTGCACGGTACTGCCTACTAATCAGTCATCCAGGTTTTTTTATTACTGTCCCGAATAATACAGGAATGAAAACTAAATGTATTGATTATTATGGAGCAAGTGCAATTATTACTTCAGCAACAGCAGGGTCAATTTTTTAACTTCTTAGGAACAGTTACTTGCATCACTTATGTCAATATTTTCAATCCAGTTGCAATGCACTCTAGAATATAAAGAAATTAAATTATCACTTAATTCAGCCCCAGAATTTGTTTTCATGGCAGAAAATAATCACACGTTTGACTCATGTTTTGCCAGAATCGGTGATTTTTTTCGAATAGAATACGATTATATAGAGTGAGCAAAGAAATTACGATTGCTGACACGAAAACGCGGTCCACAAGAACACTGAATATAAAATCTTATCCTGCCATAACCCCTAAGAGAATCTAGTTTTGATGAGACCGTTGGTATAAAAAAAAAGATTTTCTAAACAAGCTTTGCTATTCCATATTCGTTACTAATGCCTCCAGTTAAGAGAGGGGCGCTGATGAAGATTACCTGACGTATCCGAGCAGGATTAATCTGCAAGCTGAACATTTTAGTTTAAATGCATTGTTAAGTGACCAATTTATATTCTTATTGTCTGTTTCTGCATTCTTAATAACTCACATGTGTTAAATGATATCCAGCTCTAAAGCTTTGACAGCGGCAGATATTTTTATAAAACATCCAAATTTGTTTCCGAACACATTAGAGTGTCGTATTATGGGGAAAACCGAATTGCATTTACAACATGGTGCAAAACCAGCATCCCGACTGAAATAAGTAATTTATGCCTTTATCGATAAAGAATTCTAGCAGGTTATAAAAACTAGGAGTCAATGAACAAATGCTTTCTCATCGTGGGCAGCTCCTATTGTGGTAGCTCGAAAAGTCAATATGACCATATACTTATGTGTTGACTGCTTTACTGTATAAGGCAGCGCTTTGCAAAATCGTTCATATCAATTACCTTGACTTGAGGCTTTATTTCTAAAACTAAATGCTGAACTTGATTTATCTGGTGTCTATTTGCACATGGAAGTTGGTTCCGATGGTATACATTTTCAAACTAAAAGTACTCGTCATGGAATTTACCAACTGATTACATCAAGTGGTGTTCGTCAGCGCTGTCCACTCTCTCCATTCTTGTTTATCTTTGTTGTTGACGTTGTTGGGGACGATAGATCCCCAAAAACTCATAGTTTGTAATTTATCTTGTGGAGCTTGTATGCAGATGTATACGTGGGCATTTCTTACCGCCCACGCACATAGTTGATTGACGAAATTATCGATTAAATGTTTAAATATTTCAATGGCAGTCAATCGACGAACTATCGATTAAATGTTTCAAAGCTCCATGACAATATCGATGTATATATAATTGTATATATACGTTTTGAAATTGTCTTGTAAAAAGTTTGCTGGTTTCGGGTTGTTGCAGAATATATTTCATTCCAAGCTTGGTCTTCTCACTCTAGATAGCGGGGCTGGGACGCGTCAATAGTTAGCCTACTGGACCTTGGTCACCGAATCCTCGATCTCGTTCTCAAACTACGTGAACCCGTGATCTCTCTCTCTCTTTCAAAACCTAACAATTGGCGACGGTGATTCGGAAACATGGATCCTTCCAAACTTGAATTATTACTCGAGCAGCAGATGAAACTTATTCAGATGTTAACAGATACAAAGCTTACGTCTAATACTCAACCAAGCAGTTCTAATCCTACCACTACCGCACCATCAGTGGATGGTATCTCTAACAGTATCTCCGAGTTTCATTACGATCCGGAATCCAATGTCACATTTGATATGTGGTTTCGACGTTACCAAGACTTATTCAAATTTGACTTCGCTAACCAGGATGATGCTTCGAAAGTCCGCTTGCTGCTTCGAAAGTTGGATCCTAGTGAACTAGACAGGTATCGCAACCTAATTTTGCCTCTAAACCCACGCGATCGCTCATTCTCGGACACTGTTCAGTCACTGAGCCAACAATTTGGAGACAACTCCTCACTATTCAATGCGCGCTATCGATGTTTGAAGCTCACTATGAACGATGATGCTGATTTTCTCACACACTTAAGTATCGTCAACCGAGAATGCGAACGCTTCCGGTTGAAGTCGCTTACTGAAGACCAATAAAAAGCGCTCATTCTCATCTGCAGCCTTCAATCTCAGAAGTTCAGTGACATTAGAACACGTTTGTTAAGTCGTTTGGACCAAGACCCAAAACTAACACTTAAAGATATTGCAAGCGAATATCAACGCCTAATCAATCTACAGCGTGGTGGTTCAGATCTTACCGAAGTTCATGTAGTCCAACAACCACCCAACTCGCATAAAACTGCCCTAGCGACATCTACTTCAGGTCAACAGAAAAAAACAAATCCTCCTGCCCCATGCTGGCACTGCGGTGCATGGCATTTTATTCGACACTGCCCATATAAACAACATCGGTGCAGGAAATGTAATGCGGAGGGTCATAAAGATGGTTTTTGTCGAAAAAAGTAGCCGAGCAGCTCCAGAGGTAGCAGAAAGCCTACGCCTAGATCCAACACAAATTCATTGAGTCTAATAGCAAGCTGTCAGAACTCAACCCCAGGTGAGAGGAAATTTATTACCCTTAATATTAATGGGCGCCCATTCAGATTTCAAATAGACACTGCATCTGACGTAACAATTCTCTCACGAAAATATTGGATCAGAATGGGAAGACCACGCACGATGCCGACAAAACAGAAACCTCGAACTGCATTCGGTAATTATCTACGTTTGTTGGGACAACTAGATTGTAAAGTGTCTTTTCACGATTCGACATTTACCGGAGTATGTTACATCACACCAGCTAATCTTAATCTACTTGGGTTAGACTGGTTTGACCGGCTACATTTGGCTGACGTTCCGTTGAGCACCGTATGCCATATGGTGAAACAACCTCATGAACCTGAAGCATATTCAAAAGAACTAATGACGGAGTTTTCGACGATTTTTCAGCCTGTTTTGGGTCAGTGCACTGCTATGAAAGCAACACTTCGGTTGAAACCTGGATTTAAACCTGTTTTCCGTCCTAAAAGACCAGTGCCGTACGCAGTATTATCGAAAGTTGACGAAGAACTTAACCTCCTTCAACGAGAGGGAGTTATTACACCTGTTTCTTATTCTGCCTGGGCAGCATCCATTGTGGTTATTAAGAAGGCTAATGGCACAATCCGAATATGCGCAGATTTTTCCACAGGTCTTAACGCAGCTCTCGAACAGCATCATTACCCACTGCCAGTCCCTGCAGATTT